AGGATTGCTGTGACTTAAGGACATTTAATAACAACAACAAAAACAAAGTTTTGTCACCTCTATTTTGAAGTAGAAGTACTTGTTTATGAATACTTTAAGCTGTAATAGGAGTTGTAGAGTTAGGCAGATGACACAACACAACCTTGCTTGCTGAAACTCAGGAGGATCTGAAGGATCTTCTGCAGAAGGTAAAGGACTATAGCCCGCAATATGGATTGAAGTTCAACATCAAGAAAACAAAGATTCTCACCACTGGGTGAATAGGCAGCACCATGATAGATGGAGAGGAGACTGAGGTTGTAAACAATTTCAGCATGCTTGATTCCACAATCAACACTCTTGGCACCAGCAGTCAGAAAATCAAAAGATGAATTACATTAGGAAAATCTGCTGTCAGGGACCTCTCCAGTGGACTTCACTATTGCCGAAGAGCAATGGTGTCAGTCTAGAGACTAAGGGACACCTGATACAGGTCTTTGAAATCACTTGCTATTCATGACAGAGCTGGATAATGACCAAAGATGACAGAAGAATTGATGCCTTTGAGTTGTGGTGCTGGAGAAGAGTATTGAGCATCCTGTGGACTGTCAAGAGAACAAACTGATCCTGCAGAGGATCAAGACAATAATTTTGAAGCTCTATCTCACATATGTTGGGCATGTTGCCTGAAGGGGATTAGTCCTTGGAGAAGGACATCATGCTTGCAAGGGTAGAGAGATAGCATAAGAAAGGAAGACCAGGGGGATATGTATTTACAGAGTAACGTGAGTAATGGGGGTAGGAGTTCTAGGGTAGTGTACATGGGTAACATGCTTGGATGCTAACTTAAAAGTTGGAAGATTTTACCCACTGAGAGACATCCTGTGAGAAAGATCTGGTGACCAGCTTTTTAAAAAAAATGCCAGCCATTGAACATCCTATCAAGCATAGCTCTACCCTGACATGCATGAAATTACCATGAGTCAGAATCAACTTGACAACAACTGGCTTGGTTGACCAGTGGTGAGGAAATTGGTTGCTAGTCCTTGGGGGCTTTCACACTGGGCTCTGGGGATGTGTTTTGTAAATGTGCCTCAGCCTGGAGAGAGCAGCCAGCCGAGGAGTCTGAGATCTTTCCTCCTGTCCTTCCATCTCCTTCAATTAGGGTAGCCTTGCATTAACATGTGACATAGTGAAATAACTACACACACAAAGTACCCTTGGTCTCAAGGTCACATGAGAGCTAAACAACAGAATGGTGCCTCCTAGTTCCACCCCACAGTTCTCTCTCTGACATCCAGGGAGACGCGGAAATAAAGGATATCTCCCTCCCCCGAGTCCCTTACCTCAGAGTTCTGGCCGCTCTTGTACAGCTCAGGCAATGCCAGGAGTGTCTCCGCAGATACGTCTTTATCGAGAACTCCAAAGAGAAGGGGAGGCAAGGAGGTGAAGAAGAGATTGAAGAAGATCATCTGCCAGTAATCGATCATGGTGGAACCAGAGAAACCACAGAAGAACTGATACCAGAAGAGCAGGTTGACGTAGCACTGCGGGTAGAGAGGAGCCAGTCACTGATTGTTGCGGCACGCCACTGAGCATTGCATGCGAGATTGCAGATGCATTAGAGATAACTGTAACTGCCTGTTGTGAACAACCACTGCCATTACTTCTTCTGCTAAATATTCAACTCTAGGCACTGCTAGTAAGCAGATTCTGACTCATGGCGACCCTAATCTCTTGCCTAAGCATAGCTTTGTTTTCTAAAGTTATTTCTACTTAAAATCTCTCCACCTGTGGAATGATCTGGGTCACTGTTACGGTCCCTAACATATTTTGATGTGGTTTGGTGCCTTGCCCAATGCTGCTTAAGCAGTTAATGCTGGAGTTAGGGTTGATGTTTTAGATTTCTGTAGCTGAGACATTGAAAGGTTAAGGATCTTGTAAGACAAATTTCAGCAGGTTTATATTCATGGTAAAGTTTAACTTTCTCTTTAACAATACCTCCCCTGGTATAGGGAGGCTCTGGTGGCCTAGTTCTAAGAAGTTGCACTGCAATCCCAAAGGCCTGTGGTTTGAATCCTCAAATTGCTCCACTGTAGAAGGATGGACAGTCTCCTCCTGTGTGATTTACTGCCTCTGAAAACCTACTGGAGGGTCAGCTACGGGTTGGTTCCAACTCAATGACAAACGACAACCGTGGCTTGGATCGTGCTATTTGGAAGAGTCTCTCTATCAAGATTGTGACTCATATTTTGTTTCTACTGTTCTTTCAGGTTACAAATGTTATTCTCTTCCTGACGCATCAGGTGAAAGTTATTCTGGTTACTTTATTTCTATTGCAACCTGATCTTCCTCCATGAGTATCCTTCATAAGAAGTGTTTCTTTTCTATCTTCTTTAAAAAAAATACTTCATTGAAACAGATGAGGGAGAGAACTGCTTAAAAGGGATATGTGATTAGGTATTATTGTCATGATAGGAGTCCAGAACGAAGGGTGCATAGTGGAGTGGACTTGGGGGGAGGATTGTAAAACAATGAAATAATTTTTCTTTTACTTTTTAAAGAGAAGAGCGAACTGGGGAGGGGGTGGAGGTAGGGTAGGGAGAAAAGTGCAACAATGAATGAATAAAAATCCAAAGTCTTTGTAAACTTTCACTAAAATTAATAAAAAATATAAAAAAATACTTTCTCCCCTATATTCATTATTCTTAAAGTTTAAGACTCTTGGGTCCTTCTGTCTTTGCCATCAAGTTAGTTCCAACTCATTGTAGCTTTCCATTGTATTTTTAAGGTGACAGCACCAGAGAAGATGACCCTGGAGGAGATGGACTGGGTAATGGGAGTAGTTGTTCAGAGATAATGAAATTGGCTCAAGGTGGAGCAGCATTCTGAGCTGTTATACTTAGGGTTGCTATGAATCAGAGTCAACTTGACAGTACATAATAACAACAACAAGTCTCTAAAGAATTGCACAGCTAACCCAAAGGACATGCTCCTCTGCTGGTTTGAATCTCTCAGTGGCACCTTAGGAGAAAGATGGACCATATCCCTTGATTTGCAGCCTTGGAAGCCCAGAGTTGGACCTGACTCATGGTAATGAAAGAGATCGGGTTTCCAAGGCTGTAAATTGTAATGGGAGGAGATTGCTCATCTTTCACTCAGGAATTATCTAGATCAGGAGCTGACAGACTTGTACTTGCAGACCAAATCCAGCTGTAAAGAAATTATTGTTGCAATACAGCTGCATGTGTTTGCTTGCATCTTGTCTGTAATCACATGCCATAGTAGTAGAACAGAATCATGGGACGAGATTGTCCATCTTTCTTACGAATACGGTGGTTGGTTCAAAGTTGTTTACTCTGCATTAGGTGTTATTTTAAGGAGTCCTAGTGGTGCAGTGTTATTTTGTTTTGTTGGGTGTTTTTTACACTAAGAGGTGGTACATGATTTCATTGCTTGGCTGTGAACTAAAGGGCAGTTGTTTGAACCCTCAAGTCACTCTGTGGAAGAAGGATGTGACAGACTGCTTTCGTAAACATTAAGTCTTGAAAATACTGTTGTACAGCTCTGCTCTGTGCTATGGGGTCTCCAGGAGTCAACATTGACTCTGTGACGGGGGCTGTGTTATATGAGGCTGGAGATTTTGCACCTCAGAGGTGGGGCATCTAGTGACAGCACTGCTGAGATCAGATGCCAGCTCTTCCTTCCAAGAAGCTATAGTGCAATAATTAATTCATTGTTCAAATTTCAGAGCAGGCAGGTCTTTAATCCCCTCTGAAATTGGTTTCGGATGTGGAAGTCATAGTTCTCCACCCTCTAATTGCAAAGGGGAGATAATGCTGCATCAGTATCGCAAATTCGAGCATAGCATCAGACTGGAAATAAATATCATTTAAGCTTTGAAAGCATGGCTGGCTGGAAACATTTCTTTTTCTATTTCACAAATTAATGTAGAGAAGAGGCTGTGCTTATTCAAAAGAATCATTCCTTCGGAGGCAAAGAAAAAAAATATAAACGTGGGCATTTTGAGTTCCAAGTAAACAGTCTTTAGTACTTGCAGTGGGTCTCAAATCAAATGGAGTGACTTGTTTGCATAGACTTGCTGAAATAATATTGCCATCTAGTTTATCCAATTTACATTAGCTTGTGGGGTTCTTTTGGTCATGCTGTTTATTTACATATACATTAAACTTTGCACAGAAAGACTCATTCTAGAGCAAGGGGCTTAGGGACGGGGACTCTATTTGGGCCTGGAAGCAGAGTTGGGGGGAAAGCACAAGCAAGAGAGAGGGGGGGAAAAGGTAATTTTGGAGCTGTTGCTTGGCTAATATTTTTCTCTTTCAATAGCCTTGTTTTAATCCTCCATTTTTCCTTATGCAAACGTGAAGCAGATTATATCTGGAGGCTCTAGGGGATTATTTAAAAATCCCTGAGCCAGATGATGAAACATTCAGGTTGTTAATCACTCCCCAAATAAACAATGTTTTAACTTCTTCCTATCTCCATTGCTAATCCAGTGCGTTTCAAGTAAGTGCCTCTAGCACTTTTAATACCTTAATTGGTGGGTTTCTGTTTTGGGCTCTTACAAAGAGGCAGAAAGCATTTCTTTTTACAAGACACATGAATGTCTTCATAGAATTCCTTGTCTAGTGTTGTGTGTGTTACAGAGCCCTGATGCTAAAACCTCTTGACAATATTTTTGGTGACAAGGAAAGTCAGTCAGAGCTTTGCCCTATTATCAGTGAGGACACTAATATATGGAGAGGTGACATGACCTTTCCAAGGTCATACAGCATGCTAGAGTTGAGAATAGATAGAGTTCAGATGGGCCCTCTGCCGAAAACATTTTCGCCAATGTTGTTCATTGTTGCAGAGTTGGAACCAACTCAAAGCTGACTCTTCAGATACTGTAAATCTCAAGAAGGAGTTGTCCATCTTCCTGGTAGATTTGAACTGCTTGTCTTTAGGGTGGCAGCACAGTAGTATTAATATCTTGCTTTGCAGGAACTCCCTGTTGGCTCCTGAAGTCAAGTACAAACTGAAGTCATGCCTATTCTTTCATAATGCAGTTGGCGACTGGTGGATTTGAACTATGTGCATTTAGGATTACAGTATAGCTTCTCACCATTTGGAAATAAGACCTCACATATTTGAAGAAGGTCTGTTACCACACATATTTTAGAAATGAAGAAACTGAGGCTTGTGGACACTACATAATATGGGAGTCTAGATTTGGGTATTTTGATGGTCAATTGCAATTTTTTAAATTGTGATTTTGATGGAAATGTACAGAAAAGTTGGATTTTCGTTCATTGATTCATTGTTGCACATTTCCCCCTTCCTCTTTGTTACCCCCCAGTTAGTTTCCTCCTCCTCCTCCTCCTCCTTCTTCTTCTTTAAAAAATATTCATTTGTTGTTGCATAATTTCCTTCCTCCTTCTCCCTCCATCCTTCCCCAGGCCCCTTTGCAATGCACCTCTTATTCTGGACTGTTATCATAATATATAATACCTAATAACATATTCCTTTTAAATAATTCTTTCTTTCATCTATTCTAATGCAGTGTTTATTATCTATACACTCTTTTTCTAGTTTCCCCCCAACCCTACCACCAGTGCTGCTTTGTAACAGTGATGTTATGAAGTGTTTGTCCTTTTGTGACTGAGATATTTTACTCAGCATAATGTCCTCCAAGGTCACCCATATTATGTAATCTTTTTCAAGTTCATTGTTTTTCAGTGCCATGTAGTATTCCATTGTGTGAATACACCACAGTTTTGCTATCTCCTGTTAGAACCTCCAAACAATCTCTCAAGGGAGTCTGTGGATTTCTTTTCACCCATGTTGGAGAAGTTTTTTGATGTTCATAGGGGTTTGATTCTGAGAAGGTCCCATTCATCTACTTTATTCTCTGCTGATTGTAGGTTTTTCAAGATGCTTGGAAGACTGTTCATATTGTGGGTTAGGACTTCTAGAGTTCTTTTAGGCGTTTCTCTGATGAAGTTTATATTCCTTGGTTTTTTTAGGTCTTTGATCCACTTTGAGTTGGTTTTTGTGTATAATGTGAAGTGTGGGTCTTTCCTGAGTTTTCAACAGATAGTTTCCCAAATCTATCAACACCTTTTGTTAGAGGCTTTCAAGATTGGAGGAAGACGCCTCAACAATCAATTTTATACAGATGACACAACCCTGCTTGCTGAAACTGAGGAGGACCTGAAGTGCTTGCTGCAGAAGGTCAAAGATTGTAGTCTTTAGTATGGATTCTACCTCAATATCAAGAAAATATTCTCATCACTGGGTCAATTGGCAGCACCATCATAGAGGGAGAAGAGATTGAGGTTGTTAACAAATATAGCTTGCTTGGCTTCACAATCAACAATCTTGGCATCAGCAGTCAGGAAATCAAATGATGAGTTGCACTGGGAAAATATGCTCTCAGGGATCTCTCCAGAGTACTAAAAAGCAACAACGTCAGTCTAGAAACTAAGGTGCACCTGATCCAGGCCATGGTCTTCCCAATTACTTGCTATGCATCAGAGAGCTAGACAATGCCTAAGGATGATGGAAGAAGAATCAATGCCTTTGAGTTGTGATGCTGGAGTATAGTCTTGAACATACCATGGTTTGCCAAGGAAACAATTAAGTCTGTCTTGGAGATGGTGAAACCAAGTTTTTCCTTGGAGGCTAGGATTTTGAAGCTCTATCTCACTTACTTTGGGCTCGTGGCCAGGAGAGATCGGTCCTCGGAGAAAGACATCATGCTCTGAATGGTGAAGGGATGGTGGAGAAAGGAAGACCCTGGATGAGATGGATTGATACAGTAACTGGGGCAATAGGGGTTGATATGTCAGAATCCGTAAGATTAGCTCAGGACAGGACAGGCTTCAGAGCTGCTATATATATAGGGGTCTCTATGGGTTGCAGGTGACTCATTGGCACATAACAACATAGGTAGATGAGCTGATTTCTTGGTTCTCAATTCTGTTCCATTGACCTATGTGTCTGTCACTGTACTGGTACCACACTCTCTTGAGCACCATGGATGTGTAGTAGGATTTGAGATCAAATGTGAGTGAAGATGGGTAGTGAGATACCTCCTACATTGTTTCTCTTTTGGGATCTCTTTCCATTCCAGATACAATTGGAAATTTTCTTTCCCATCTCATTGAAGAATGGAATTGGTATCTGTATTGGGATTGCATTGAACTAGTAGATTGCCTTTGGTAGAATTGTCATTTTCACAATATTGAGTCATCCTATCCATGAGTGTGGTATTTTCTTCCATTTCTCCAGGTCTCATTTTGTTTTTTGTAATAATGTTTTGTAATTTTCTTTGAATAAGTCTTTAGTGTTTTTAGTTAGATTTGCTCCCAAAGCCACAGACTGGGAAAGAAAAAAATTTGATAATGACATATCTGATAAGAAACTCATATTAAAAATTTACAGAATATTCAAGCACTTCAACAAGAAAAAGGTAACCCAATCACAAAATCAACACAGGATATGAATAGACACTTCATCAAAGAAGACATTCAGATGGCAAATAAACACATGAAAAAATATTCAAAATTCCTAGCTCTCAGAGAGATGCAACTAAAAAACAACTATGAGATATCATCTCACCCCAGTAACAATAGCAAAGTTCAACAGAATAGCAAACAATATATGCTGGCAAAGTTGTTGAGAGATTGGAACGTTTATTCACTGCTGATGGGAGTCTAAAAGGGTGCAGCCACTATGGAAGGTGGTATGGCACTTTCTCAAAAAGTTCAAAATAGAAGTACCATTTGACCCAGGAATTCTGTAAAATTAGAAACATCCCGTAAAGAAATCAGAGCTGCCACTCAAACAGATATATAGAGACCATGTTTATTGCTGCACTATTCACAATAGCAAAGAGAAGAAAACAACCCAGGAAACAGCCCATCAACAAATGAATGAATAGAATAACTATGGGACTGGAGGAAGATTCATGAACAATCTGTGTTATGCAGATGGCACAACTCTGCTTGCTGAAACTGAGGAGGACTGAAGTGCTTGCTGCAGAAAGTCAAGAACTGCAGCCTTCAATATGGATTGAGGCTCAATATCAAGAAAACAAAGATTCTCACCACTGGGTCAATTGACAGCATCATGAAGGATGGTGAAGAGATTAAGACTGTAAACGGCATTAGTTTCCTTGGCTCCACAGTCAACACTCTTGGCACCAGCAGCCAGGAAATTAAAAGATGTATTGGGATGGGAAAGTCAGCTGTTAGAGACCTTTCCAAGCACTGAGAGCAATGATGTCACTCTGAAGACTAAGGTGCACCTGTTATAGGCCATGTTCTTTGCAACTACTTGCTATGCATCAGAGAGCTGGACAATGACTAGGGTTGATAGAAGGAGAACTGATGCCTTTGAGCTGTGGTGCTGGAGAAGACTATTGAGTATGCATGAACTATTAAGAAAACAAACAGGTTCAACCTGGAGAGGGTTAAACCAGGCTGCTCTTTAGAGGCAAGGATTCTGAAACTTCCTCTGACATACTTCGGACATGTTGCAAGGAGGGACCAATCCTTGGAGAGGGACGTCATGCTTGGGAGGATGGAGGAACAGCATAGAAGAGGAAGACCCTCTATGAAGTGGATTGATTCAGTGACTAGGGTAAGGGAGTAGGTATGTCAGAGACAGTGAGATTGGCACAGGATAGAGCAGAGTTTAGGGCTGTTGTACATAGGGTTACTATAAGTTGCAGGTGACTTGACAGCACATAACAATAACAACAACATGGTATGTTCACAAAGTGGAATACTATACAGCACTGGAAACAAGAAACTAATAAAATATTACACAACATAGGTGACCCTGACAGGAGATCTGCAGGCTAGTGGCAAGAAACTGTGCTGCAGTCCCAAAGGCACATGCTTCGAGGCTACCAGCTGCTCCACAGGAGAAGGATGAGTAATCTCCTCCCATGAAATTAACTGCCTCTAAAAGTCCACTGGAAGATCAGCTATGGGTCAGTTCTGATTCTATGGTACACAACAACAACAACAACGTGACCCTGGAGGACATTGTGCTGAATGAAATATCTCAGTCACAAAAGAACAACTACTGCATAACACCACTGTTATAAAAGAGGACTGATAGGGTTTGATTGGAATCTAAGAAAAGAGGGGATAAATAACATACACTGCATTGGAACAGGTGAAGGAAAGAACTGTTTAAAAGAAGTATATGATTGGGCATTATTTGTATGATAACAGTCCAGAATAAGAAGTGCATAGCAAAGTCTACAGTAAGAGGGACAGCTGAGAAGGGAGGAAATTATGCAACAACAAATAACTTTCTTTTATAAAAAGTTAACTGGGACAAAGTAGGGAGGAAAGTGCAACAATGAATGAAAGAAAATTCAATTTTTGTGTAAACTTTTGTTAAAATCACAATAAAAAGGGAAAATAAGTATTATACAATTTTGAAAATTGTTTTTCTTTTATAGTTTTATAAAGGGAATCGAAATTTGAACACATTACATCTCAGTCCAGAGGCCATTCTCCCAGCTATTCATATTCTCTTCTATATTCTGGTGCTAGTATTATAGTATTGCCAGTCCTCACAACAACTTCAAGAAACAGGATATACTATTAGTCACACTTAGCAAAGAAAAATTGAGCCTAGAGAATTGTGTTGCCTGAGGTCACAAAGATTCTAAAGGGAAGTCTCTGACTCAAGATTCTGGAAAACCTGATTCTTTCCTTGATGCTGAGATGCTTTCTCCTCAGTGGTGGGGGCATGGAATCTGCAGCAAGAACCCCCCTCCCCAGAGGTGCTCACCACATTTTTGTAGAAGTAGTAAACCACCATCCGGGCCAGGCGCGAGTAACACCAGTGGCCGTGCACCAGCAGCAGCTTCTTGAGATGCTTGAAGCGGGAGATGGCGAAGTCGCTGGACATGACAGCCTGAGATGGAAGAACAGAAGCATCAATATCCATGTGGCCACCACTGCCCTGGAACTGTCCACTGGGTCATGCTTTGTTTTCTGATTCCTACTGACTGGGTCTGAAACACCCCTGGTTGTTATGTAGAAGATAAGGAGGTAGCTTTGATCTCCTATGGATGGCTTTTTGGACTCTCGTATCCTACGTCTCTTTTAGAAAATCCAGGTCTCACTAGAATTCATGAAGGTAGTTAGGAGCAAAAATTGGCTGGACAATGTCTAATGAAAACAACAACACACTGTGGTAAAATATATGACATAAAACTAACCATTTTGTCAGGTTTTTAGTGTGTTTCAGTGGCCTGAATTTCATTCACAGTGTTGAGCAATTGCCATTACTATCTACAACTACCAAAATTATCCCCCAAAAGAAACCCAGTATCCATTTAGCAATAACTCCCCATTCTTCATAGTACTCTTTTAAGAACATGATGTTTGAAGTCAGAGATTATAAATCCTAGTGCACCTTGGTCAAGTTCTTTAACTTTTCCTATTTTAAAAATGGTCAAAAGTATCTAATATATAGGTTGAGGTGATTATTAAAGTTAAATTAGAATGTCTCCACCAGTGTTCATGGCACCATTTTTAATAATAGTCAAAAGGTAGAGCCATCCCAAGTGTCTACCAATACATGAAGGGATTAGCAAAATGCGGTGCAGTGATACAATGGAATATTACAGAGACAGAAATGAAATTATGATTTATGCTAACACATGGATGTACCCTGAAAATATTATGCTGAATGAAAGAATTTAGACACAAAGAGACAAATGTTCTTTGACCCAATTTATATGAACTATTTACAGGATACACATGCATAGACACAAAAGTGTACTGGTGCCTACTAAGAACTGAGAGGAAGAGGGATAGGAAGCTATTGCTGAAGAACCTCTGAGTTTCTTTTTGGGTGTTGTAAAATGTTGGAAATTGGTAAGTATAATGGTTGCATGCCATGGACTGCCAAAAGAACAGACAGATATGTCTCGGAGAAGATGCAGTCAGAGTGCTCCTTGGAGGCAAGGATAGCAAAGCTTCACCTTGCATACTTTGAGCATGTTGCTAGGAAAGGCTATTCCTTGGAGAAGAACACCATGCTTGGAAAGGTGGGGGGATGGCAAAGGTGAGGAAGACCCTGAACCAGATTGATTGACACAACGGCTGTAGCAATTGGCTTGAGTGTGTCAGAGATTGTGAGGTTGGCACAGGATAGGACAGAGTTAGATCTGTTATTCATAGGGTCCCTAGGAATCATACTCGACTTGAAGGTACCTGAAAACAACAACAACAGCATGATGACTGCAAAATGTGCATAGTTAATATCACCAGACTGTACACTTAAAATGAAAAACTTTTATATATACATGTTTTAACTACAATAAAAATAGAGTCAAACTAAGAATTTAAACATGAGAATAAATGTGAAGTGCCCACAGAGTGCAGCCATTTGGTTGATACTAGAAAGGTAACATATAATTGTTTTGTGGCTTCTGAGTTGACAAGCTTTCATCCTCAGCAGCAGATTTTTAGGAAGAGATTGAGGTTATTAGCAATTACAGCTTGCTCGGATCCACAACCAACACTCTTCACACTAGCAGTAAGGAAATAAAAAAAACGAATTGCTTTGGGAAAATATGCTGTCATGGACCTCTCCAGAGTACTGAAGAGCAACGATGTCAATCTAGATACAAAATATGCCTAATTCAGGCCATTGTTTACTTAATTACTTGTTATGCTTCAGAGAGTTGGACAATGACTAAGGATGACAGAGGAGCCTTTGAGTTGCAGTGCTGGAGTAGAGTCTTGAACATACCATGGACTGCCAAGAAAACAAATCAGTCTGTTGTGAGATGGTGAAACCAAGACTCTCCTTGGAAGCTAGGATTTTTTT